CCTGAGCTTTGTCATACAGAAAGACACTCCCACGCAGGACGTGGTGACATAAAAGCCCTCAAACCTCTGAGCAACCGGTGCTGAAACTGGAGCAGCGTGAGGTGGCAGCCGCCTGCCCGTCACCGAGTGCTTCCCAGTTCAGTCCAAAGCCACTAAGTGTCCCCACCCGCCTAACGTGACACATGACAGAGCAGCTGGGCTTCCAGGGAGACTGGATCCTCGGCCTGAGCTCACAGATACACGGTGGTGAATGTTCCTCTGCCTCACAGGGGTTGAAGGAAAAGCAACAAATAAAACCCTCTGTGCAATGGAAACCGTCAGCTCCGATACGAGACGTTCCCTGTTGGCGTTTCCATCAGGTCACCTGTGCCAGGTCATCTATAAACAAGAACGTGCAATGAGAATAAAATTGGGCAGGAAGGTTCCCAGTGGTCATTAATTCAAAAATGACCGATGATGCTAGGAAATCGTGACTTTTCACTATATTGATAACTTTAAAAAAAGGAAATCAGAGAACCACAGGAGAGGACAGTGTGTGCAGTCATCCTCCAGCTGCTAGTAAGCTATAAAGACCCTCCAAATTGAAAAATGCAGGTGCTTAGACTAGATATATATTTCTATTTAACAAAAAGAAGTCTTAAGGTTTAATTTTTAAACTGTTTTAAGTAAAAATAAAATGTAGAATTAATGGAATTATGATTTTATTATTATTAATTTAATAAGATATTGTCAGTCATGAGAATTTCCCTGACTCTTTAGCAACTATTATTTGCTAGCTTGTAATACTAAAAAAATCCCAGTAGGTAAAACAGCCTGGTTTTTCACCCTACAAACAACTTGGAGGGTGCAGCAGAGAGCTGCCCTGAGGACTGCATGTATTACAGTTGGAGCAAAGGGCGGGGAGCCAGGGGAAATGCACTCAGAGTCATTATCTCATTGCACATCTTCTGGCTAAACCCTTGCTGCTCTTATGCCTCTTACACTTCATGGGAAGGGTGGAGATGGGGGGCATGTGGAGCAGGATCCCCCCGAGGTCTTCCTGCAGAACAGGTGAGGAGTATCCTTGGGGAAACTGCAATGCGGAACTAAATCCTTCCCACTTTCTTTATTGCAATAACTGGTGAACATTTAATGCACAGGACATGCTTGAAACACTCCTTCCTGCGCAGCAGCGATCAGCACTGCTGATTAATCAGTCTCAGAGTCACCAAGAAAGCACAGATAATCTGGGAAACATAAATGAGAGCTGCCCAACTTCCCTGACATGTCAGACATACGTGGAACAACCTGGCTCAAAATATATAAGTTTAAGAAAACAAACATTTGAAAGTTTGAAATTTTGAAATCCTTCAGTTTACAGAGATTTTAAAAATCACTTTAGCAAAGGCCAGATTATCACTTTACACAGATCAGCGCATTTCTCATGTGACTAGAGGTCTTTGCCTTTCAAGGACTTGTACTAGCCAGATCCAGCCCCGTGACTACCCTGTTTCACTGCTGAAATGAGATTCAACTCAGCAGAGCAGCAGATTGGAGGCTGCAATGGGATTATCAAGTATGGATTTCTTTAATGGACTCGCTGCTTAGAAAGAGCTCTTCCAAGTGCAATAGCCTTTACCTTTCCATAGAGTCAACACCACAGGGATGAGAGTTTTTAAAAATGGGGACAAGAGGTATTTAAAGAATAAGCAGACTCTTCAGAAAGCTGATACTGAGAATTTTTCTTACAAAAGAAAATGTGCACTGGAGGCAGGAGAGAATCCTCTAACGGCTCAAAGGCTGGTCAGATGAAAGATGCTGGCACCTTCAAATCCCAGGCAGAATGGAGGGTCAGGAACAAGTTCCTCAGATTACTGTACAGAGTGTCATGGTATTCAGTTTAAGGAGACCCCACTAAGCGGAAAAGTTAATGCTGCCCTTTCTTACAGCTCTTGAAACCAACGGGCATTAAGGGGACACATTACATAAATGCTGAACACACAACACTGCCCATAAAGATCTTTTTAAGTCATTTCTTGAGTGCTTTACAAAGAAAAGTGAGTATCCTCATTTTACAAATGTAAAACTGAGGCAAAATGTTTAATAATATGCAGCTGAAATGTCCAAGTCACTTAAAAAGAGATCCTTTTATCAGCTCTTAGGTTGCTTCATGTTAAAAAACACCACATATGCAAGGGATGTTACACAAGACCAGTGTTTTAAACTGTGTTTAGACATGCAACAATCTAAATGCAACCAACAGTTCTGCTTTTCAAATAACTACCCGTCAACCATCCCACCATTACCCCGTTACTCAAAAAAAAAGCAGAGAAATCGCTGCAATCTAGATATCCAATTTGTGCTCTGAAAATATTTGAGAAATTTTACTAGGGGCTGAGGAGGGAGAGAATGTTATTTATTAGATGCATGTTCCTGTACATCATTTAAGGAGCAAAAATGGCATGCACTCTGTCCCAGCGTGCTAAATGAGAAGTCTTTCTCCTTCAGGTTGGATAAGCTAAATGCACTGACATTTAAGGTCTTTTTGATAACCTGCACACATGGTACTCGTATCAAGATTACACTGATGACATGAAACCATTTTTTGCATCACTGATTTGTCGAGGAGCAGGGTACCGGCTCACATAGAATTTAGGGGTGGTGAAAAAGCAGTTCCGTAGATATTACAGTGACGGAAAAAATAAGAGAGTGGCACAGAGAAGCAGGTTATGTTACAGCAAATCTCTGGCCTTGCTAGGCGTGAAGAAACATATTTTTTTAAAAAAAAAAAAGCAGTATTACATAAGCATTTAGTTTAATTAGGCAATACATACCATTCATGATATACAAAACCATCAATCATCTTAAACATGGATTTAGTAGATCAGCTATTCACATTTTGGTCGCAAACAAAGATTTTCAAAAATTATCCTATACGCCAAGAAAAGATAAGTCAATAATGTTATATAAACCAGTTATTAAATTAAACTTCCCTGACATCCTCCTGCACAAATCTTCTGTTGCTGTCAAAAAATGAATACACATTAGGCAATATAATCTAAATCACTGTAAACAAAGACTGCTTAAAAGAAGTGTAGTCAAAAACAATATTGTTATTTGCACAAATAACAAGACATAGACTGTATGTGTTTAATGAAAGCATGTTGTCTCAAATCTGTGGTTTCTTTTTTAATATTGCACTTATTTTGGAGGATCTGAAGGATGAAAGTTTCAATTAAGATGCAACTGATACAGACGAAGATTTTCATTTTCATCTTTCTGATTAGATATTCTTCCTTACTTGTTCTGGTTTTAAACCAGGAAAAGGATATCAGTACATCAATATTAAGAAATAGCAAATGTGATTTGAAACAGTTTCAATAGCATAACAGCTGAGAAAGTATTCAAGCCAAATCCAGAAATACAGTTTGAGTTTGCTCCATTTCTGTAACTAGTGCTGATATTCAAAAGCCAGAGTCATATCCCATGAAAATACTTACATGGGAAATGCTCAATAACCAAGCAAAACTGCAGTTCTCATTGTAGTCTCTACATAATCTGAAGCTGAAGACCTTGAACTTAAATCTTTTAAGAATATGTGCAGCCAAAACTTTCTATGCCTCAAATTTAAGATCTTGTGGCATTAGAAACGCAGGAGTACGATTTAAGATTCCCTGAAAAAAACAAGTCAGCACAAAAGTGAAGAAATGATGCAAGCGTCTTCTCACTTTAGGGAAACAGTATTAATTTCAGTTCTTCTTTAGAGTTGTCAAGTACAAGTTCAGTGACTTATATGACTAACATGAGGTCAACATTTGACATTAAAACAGTTTCAATCAACCTAAAAAAAAATATATATATATATATAGTACAGACAATTCTTATATTCCTTTCCTTATTTCGAACTCAAAGCTCTGGATGTGAAGCTCAGCACTTGAGAATGATCTTCTATTATCAAACATTTGGAAATGGATAGACATATATGTCCCCATCTCAAAAAGTTTACTAAAAAACTAAATTAAAGACATAACAGTATAGAGGTTAATCAATGCAAATAGTGGTTGTCTTTAAAATAGTTTTACAAGACAATTTGATTATAAAGTTGTTATGATTATTCTAAAAATTCAGTTTACTGAGCATTTTGATTATCATTATTAATTTAGGTTTCTTAAATTTTTTTTGGTCAGAAATTTAATGAAGCAAGCTTCTTGGATTAATTAATCCAATGGAATGCAATATGAAAACATAACATTTACCTTCCCTCTTTTCCCAGGATTATTTTGCATTCACTTCAAGTGTGGTATTTTGAAAATATTTGAGTTTTCTATACCTCACAAGACAGTATGTTCAGATGTACAGATTTAACTTTCATTTTAGTTGTAAACTATTCACCTTCAGAAGATGGTGACTATGGTCAGAAATGCAACAATTGCCTTCTGAAAAGAAATATGACTCTCCAAAGGCTGCCTCTTTCAGCCTGGAGACATTACTATCCAGATATAGGGCTGGTAATTGGAGAAACATTTAAATATGCAGACTAAAAAAATACTTCCTGACATTACACCAGGAAAAGTCAGCAAAAACATTAAGAATGAGAATTTTCTGAGGCAAAAGAAGCACTTACCTAGTGTCCTCATTCAACTCTAATTCTAGAACAAAGTTTAATATCACCAAATGTAAAAAGAGTCAGTAGTAAAATAATACACACTAAATATTCCTCTTATTTTGGTAATAGGAACATACATACAGGGTTTTCTCATTTACCAAAAGCCTTTGCAAATGACCTGATACTATAGAGCTTCTTTTTTGTTTTTGTAGATACTGTAAACATTTAGAATTTCTAAGGCTAAAAACAGGCACAAGTCTTTTGTGAACAGTAATTACTCCTAAAAGCATTAAGGAATATATTCCCAATCTGCTATTCCCTTTTTATAAGAATGGAATTAATTGAAATATAACATTTTAATTCACAATGCAGATTCCTAATTAAAAAAGAAATACAGTTTAATAATCACAACGAATAGTAATATATAGGAAATACGCTTTTCTCCAAAAAATGGTCTCTTATGTCAAAATTAGATTTCCAGAATCTCTGTATTGGGTGTTACTCACTCAACTTTATAAAGTGGCAAGTTTAAGTAGTGACTAAAATATTTCTAAGTGGGTAGAATTCAATCATGCTGTGTCAGCATTATTAGCACCCACGGCTTTATAATAATGCAGGTGAGATCCGTAATAACCATTTTGCAGATGTATGACACTAAAGCCACACAGTAAGTGGCAGCTTTTAAAAGACGTCAGACACTCCTCTCTGTGTAATTGTCATGAGGTGATTTTGTTTTGTGCCTCATTAAGGTACCTGAGCCAAGAGTCTTGTTTCAGGCTGGTTTTTCAAGATCTTACTCTGTCACAGGTTCCCATTTGCTGAGCAGCAAAGCATTAGCCAACATTTCAGCAGACTGATTCCAATGTAAATGTTAGCAGCAATGCATTTCCAGAGACACGTTGCAGAAATATTAACAGCACTTGTCATCTAGAAGTCCTTTTTCCCCCTGCACCATTCTGGGCAAAGTAACTCACCACCAAGTAATCTTGAATTCATAAATAGGACGCTTGCAGTAATAGTGGTTTATCAGGTGTTTATCGCACACACCAATGCACTGATGATCCACAGTTATCCCTCTGTCAGACAGGTCTGTCACGATACAGTGCAGCAGATCATACACATCAGCCACAGCCTCCCAGGGGCCAAACGATACGTCCACTTCGCAGTGATGTTCAAAGAGCTTCGTCTCACTTTCGCTTCTTTCAAAACGCAGAGAGTTGAAGTGTGGGCACTCATAGGGAGTGATGGGCATCTCTTCTTTGAAGACACAAACCTTCAACTTTGCAAACCGCGCTTTTCTTTGCATAGCTCTAAGCTTTGCTATTTCGATTATCCGCTCCAAATGATCTGAAAAACAATAAATGTTGAAAAGACCAATGAAGCACTTTGTAAAATAAAACAAATGCAGTTTGTTCATATAAAATGCTATTGCAATAATTTAGCAAGTCATTCTTAAAATAATACAAGCAGCAATGGGAAGCTGCATGTAGCCAGACAGAGTCTATTTTAATTACATCAGTTTCAGCTATCTTGTGAACTTGATGTTCTTTCTACATGCCCAAATTTATTCAATTGCAGCTCTGAACAGAACAAATGCAGAGGCAGAAGAACATTCTTATTCAATAATAAACCTTGCATGTTATGGCCTAGATCCTGTTTCCTCTAAGACAGTGTAAAAATTCACATCCTCAGACAATGCAAGAACAAATCTAACATGCAGACCTCAAAGATCCAACGAGTTAGAATATGAAAGGTAAGTAAGAAACTTCTCACATATGACAAAATTTGTTTGAAAGCTGAAAGTGTTCCTGAAAGGAATATTTATACTCCTTGATTCACATTACAGAAACACAATTAATACTACTTCATTTATTTACCTTTGTAATATGGCATTAGGCCAAGGAAAGCTTGTCTAACTTTTTCTCCTTTAAGGGGCTGGACATCCTCCAGGCAGTCTAGCAGAGGCCCGATGGAGTAATACTGAGCTTCCTTGTAGACCGACCTCACTCGCTCCCTGGGTGGCAGCTCACCAGATCGCAGAAAGTTAAGGATGTCTCTAAACAAAAGGGGAAAAACACTCCTAAGTGCAAAGTTTATTCGAAGACACTTGCACAGGAAACACTGGATATACACTGGTTACTCTATTCGCATATATACCCTTAGATTAGGCAGGAGCTGAGAGAATTGCAAACCACATTGCCAACACGTATTCTTAAAGTGTTTTTTCCTTTCAAGTCTCCAATTCCAAAAAATCACACCATAACTCCGATAACGCCAGAACTTATTTCAAAGAAAACACCAAGACATTTTTAACAAGAAGCTCAAGGCAGAGTAACCACTTGAAACAAGATGCACAAAATCTTCCATGGAAAAGACTGAAGTCATTGTATTTCACACTTAAGGCTGTACAAAATAAACTGTTTAATTTCCCTGCAGAATTATAGGCAAAGGCCTTTTACGCCACGTAAATCCAGGATTCTAGTGGTACAGATGGTGCAATTGCAAAAGAAATGTTCTCATCATAGGATCAGGGCCACATACTCTTATATAACTCAAAAAAAATCCTTTTAATGTAGTTCTGAAACCATTTAAGTTACAAGATTTTTAATTGGGAATATGAGCATTAACCAACAACATCTATTACTGGCCATATCAAGTAAAACAGCATTACAGCAATTTTCATTATAATATCAACAAATATAGCAAGTGGTAACTTGGATCTGGATTCCTGTTATATTTTGAATTCAGATTGATAACATCGCAACATCACATCACTCTTCCAACTTCCTAAATGTAAAGAAATATTTATTTTCAAATAAATCTAGTGCCTTAATCTATTTCAGTTTCAGATTAAGGTACAACCTGAATGAACTTGGAAAAGGAAAAACAAAAAAGGAATAGAAGCTCTATGTAAAGTCTTCTTTGGGTGAAGACCTGAAGCTATAAATATTACAGGAAATTATGTTTAAGTATTCTAGCAATTTCACATCAACTTAAACAATGTATTAGTAGTAACATGGTTAATTAAATTGAAAATAAAAAGAAAGCTACACATGTACTTGAAAGTTTCAGAAGGAAGCCTAAAGATGAAGGAATATGGCACTACCAGCAAAAATAATTTAAAAGAATTTTTTTTGAATCTTGCACTTCTTTCCATTTACATTTTAATATAATTTATTTTCATAGTGCTCCGGAGGTAATTCATTTACCAAAAAGCATGTTTATTTTGACAAATTTGTTTTCTTGGAAAGTTAAAACTTCCTTTAAACATTTTTTTTTCCCTTCAGCAACCACTTTGAAAGCATCTTACTGAGGACACTGCACGTACCCAAAGTAAGTTCCATCTCTGTCAATAAAATATCTGCCTTCAGCGTCTGTTGGAATGTAGTGTCTCCCGCTGAACATAGCGGCCAACATTGTGTCCTCATAACGTCTCAGCGTTGACAGTCGCGTTGTGAAACACATCCCTCCTACGTTGAGTGGAACAACTTCTGGAAACTGCAAAAGCAATCGCATCGTCAGGAATGAGCCTGCAGTGCCTTGCAAACATGTACAGGCCAAAATTATTAGAACTTCCAGAAGAACTTCCATTTTAGGGTAAAATTACAAATGAAATTTGGCAAAAAGGCATGTTTAGAAGCCTTCATTAAAAGAAGAGGAACATTCAACCATCAGATCTTCTGAGAGTGGAGATACTCACACAACTACAGGGCTGTTGTGTAAAATGAAGAATTAATCAAGAGTCTTCCTATATCGTGGTATTTCCATTTATTAGTTTGAAACCAGAAGATGGCATTTGACAGAAAGGAGTGAGCACAGCATGTAAGGTTTTGCATGAGACAATTTTGAAGCAAATTCAGAAAGGCTGGAAAGACTAAGAGGGAATTCACATTGGGTAGAAACAGAGCAGGCACGGATGGCAATCTCAGCAGTACTTCTGGTAAGACTGGTAAGGGAGTCAGAGGAATGGCAGTGCCAAAGAGAAAAGCCCCTCAATGTTTTGTTTTTCCCTCTCCAAAAATAACAGGAAGAGCATGACTGAAATTGTGACAGGAGGATTTGAGAAGGCAGAGAAACTCCAAGCCTGAATGACGCAACAAGGGCAGAGGCAGCAACAATTTTGGAAGCAACACAGCATTTTACGGTCTATTTTGCATATGTTCACCTTGACACTTGTTAATAATCTTTGCTATTGTGACATAATTTGGTCCAACAAATGTCCCTTTCCTGGCCTGCTCCCACAAAACTGTGAGATTCAAGGGATTAACACCTTGTATCCTCTGACTGGCTTCCAGATAGGATCAGGGAATGTTTTCATTTTAGTTGGAAATCTGAAACAGCAGTCATGTCCACAGCTTTAATACTAGATATTCATTAAAAGCATGAAAGCCTTCTCTTGTTTTCTTTTTTTTTTTTTCTTTAATTCTCTTTCCCCACACCACAAAAAGGGGTAGGCAACCTCAGGCCACATCTGGGACTTGTACTCAGTTGCTGCTCCAATGGTCCCTTTATATGAATTAATGTGTAGGCTGAAAATCACTAACTGCGTTTACATTAGATTTATAGCAGGCCTAAAATCTTAATACCACAACTGAAGATGTTTCAGTACCTGAATAAGCGCACGCTTGCATTTGTCAGGCTCCAGCTACTGAGGTAAAACATATGGAACTTAGGACTGAAGGAATGTTAATAAGGAAGGAATATGAAGAACACAAGGAACTAAGCCAATTTAGGTAGTAATGGAAACTGAATTGGCTATCCATGAATACGTCATTAAAGAAATTCTTTTGATTCTTTGGCACCGGAGCAGTATGTGGTGCAATAACTGGTTTATCAGCTGAACGGCAGCGCGGAGCTCTTACCTGCTGAGGCAGCAGAGGTAGCGACTGTCCTGCCTGGGTCGCCGTGGGAGTGGCCGGCTCCTGGAAATCATCCTCTGCATCCGAGCTCGACATGGCATCATCCGGGTTTCCACTCACTTTGTTCTGCCCTGTAACTACCACCATCCCTCTGGCTCTCGCAAGCAGGTCTGCTGGGTAGGCAGCCGTGGCAAGGCTAGATAGGAAACAAGACCTAAATTACTTGGGCGCTCTCCTCACCAGCTGCAGAGGATCACGTGGCACGCGCAGGCATGCAGCTCCCTGCTCTGCACGCAGAAATTACAATGGCATCGCCGGGCTGGGGAGTGAGTCACGGCGAGGGTGACAGCGCCGTGCCGAGGGCGGCCTCAAAGGGGACTCTGTGCAGG